CACTGTACAGGTGACACACGGCCAAAAAAAAAGCTTAATCATAGTACATAGGAGGCATGAAATACATCCAGTTCATTTGCCCCTTTGCCATGAACACCCATCCGCATGCAAGGCAGTACTGCATGTCTACTGGGGTGTAGTAACTGGTCCAAATTTGAGAGCTGTTCACGTTCATGTCCCTGAATGCAGGCAGTGTGTATTCGGGGACCCGCACAGCTGTCAAACTAGGGCCAACATCTGTGTCTGTGCAGTTGCTGTTCCCCAAACATAACTGCATGTGGATGCACAGAAATACTTGAGCATCTTGTGCAGACAAATACAGCCCTTCACAAGGGTGTGCAGACAGGTATGCCCATGTGAATGAGGCCTTAGAAGCAGGACAAAAAAAAAAAAAAAAAACTGTTAGTGTAGTCAAGGTGTCATATGGTTTTAACTGTCAGAAGGCATGTAGTAGACTCTGAAGTCAGGTGAAGAGAGACCTTATGCTCTAATGAGATCAAAACAAAGCTTTTTAGAACCTGATGAAATGCCATATACCACTGCACATCTCCATTGTAAAGCAGAGTGGTGGCAGCAGTACGACGTGAAGAGGTTTTTCATAAAATGGAAATCCTGGAGGAAAACTTGTAATGGAGTCTGCAAGAAATTTGAGCCCTGGGAGAGGATCGGTCTTCAGGCAACTACAAAGTCCCAAATATCACCATTCCTAGCCACCTTCTGTAAACTACTACATAACACTACGTAGAGGACATGATTGGGGGGGCGGGGGGGGCGTTGCAGTTCAAATCAGAAGAGCAGCCTTGGGTGACAAAGCTACTCCTCCACAGATATAGTGCAGTTAAGTGATTGTCAGCCGCCAACAGTAAGACATGGTGGCGGTACAGTCATGGTTTGGGCAGCCATATCTTGGTTTTCTGCAAGCCGCATCATCATCCTCAAAGGTAGAATCACTGCCAGTGACTATGTACAAATTTGTGGCTGACCATGTGTAGCCCATGGTGCAGACAGTTTCCCAAAGACAATGCCATTTACCAAAACGATAATGCTCTGATTCACACAGCCGGTGTCAAATCGTGGTTTGTCGAGCATGCAAAGTCTTGCACCATTCTTGGGCACCACAGTTGTGGACCTCAACATCATAGTGCCACTATGGTCAATTTTGGAGAACAAAGTTCATTTTCCACCTTCAGCATCTCTGCTGGAATGACCTTTGCATTAAGAGTGGTATTAGATTCAATTATCCACCATCAAAGACTTACATTTGTCAATTCCCAGCAGAATTCAGGCTGTCTTGAAAGCCAAAAGGTGGTCCAATTATATATAAATATATTATTGGTGCACCGAAATGAAAATGCTGGTGCCAAAACCGAAAGTTCAGGATGCACTTGGCCGAAAACATTAGATTAAAAAAAATGTTCAGTAGCTAGTATCTCAAGCCCTAATTCTCACATTAGCCAACACTTACCAAGGCATGGGCAAAGTGCTATAGAATTCAGGAACCAGCAGAACAGGCTCTTTGACATGTTAATGTTTTAATGAAAGGCTGGGCGGTCTGCTCCAAAAGCAGGAAAGTACCTGTGGAATTCAGCAGTGTGCCCAAATGGACGATTGTAGAAGCAAGTGCGCTCAGAGGTTATGATGATGGGTAAGGTCACCCAAGTAAATTATGCCATACTGCATTTTTTTATACATTATGAACTAGGATGGAAAAACATATCCTACACTAAAATAATTGCTCAATTAAATGCATAATAGTAGGTAAAATTGCTACAACAGCTTTTTTATTCTCCCAACTTTATATACTGTAAATTTAGCACCTTCAGCAGCCCTTTAAGCACCTATTACCCCAAAGTATCATCCTAATACAATGTACGCACATCCAGTACATTGAAAGGAAAAAAAACAAACAAAAAAAAACACCACAACAACCCATTAACGGTTTCATCATGATAGGATTTCCCTGTGACACAGAAAAGTAGCCAGTGTGGAACAGAATCTGATCACATGGGATCAATTTTTCTGTCATGTTTCAGCTATTACCCTACTTCAAGACGTTTAAAGTGTACGTAGCCTGTTAAGGAAACTTCAATGCTGGTGATTTTCTGCTTCGTATTTCATTTATACGGATGCTACTTCCATCAGGAAACATCTGGGCACTCTCATACAAAGAACATTAATACACTTGCTAAATAAATAGGGCCCTACTTGTTAACTCCTGCTGATCATCTGGTCTCAAACTCCAGGGATAAGTCACATAGCAACCTTAATGGCAAGGCTTAAAATAAAAGCTTCCAGAAGGAAACAAAGAATACTCAATCTTTCTCTATGATAAAAACTTCAATCTCATGCAGGGTACAAGTCATATGCGTCACTTAATACACAACCTACAAAATAAAACACATACATATATCTTAGTGTCACCAATACGTGAAATCAGTATCATTGCAGTATACAAGTTCATACATGCAAGATTAAAAAGGGAAGGGGGGGGGGGAATCAAACAGGCCAAAATTATGCAACACACAACAGCCCATTCCAAAGAAGCACAGCCCACCTTTGTGTTGTGCACCACAAGATTAGTAAGGCATAATGATATTCAGAATGATAAATATATACACACACACGGACATGATTAAATAACACTTGCTACTAAGGAGGGGAAATGCAATGTGATTAGACGAAGGCATCCTATTAAATAAATGATTGATTAAAAAAAAATATATATATATATATATATCATATCTTTAGAGCAGATCTTTTATAACATATGTAAACATGTACAGTTTCTTAATCAGACTCACTAGTGAAGCACATAATGAGTTGAAAAAGACTTGAATGAGGAAGGGGACATAGATCCTCACTACAGGATTGAGTTTTACACTTGGCTCTCTGCTTCCTGTCCAGTGGTAACTACACAGCCACTATTCCTAGAATTGGAACTGGGCAGTGATGAATTGCATCATTCACGTTGCAGTCACTGACATCAGAGGTACATGTATGCTCAGGGAGGAGGAGCTACATCTCTTGGCATTCTGAGTATAGTACAGCGTTCCACTGAGCAACACATGACTAAACAGAGAGCTTGGTTTCAAATCCTGTATTTCATGGTGCTTCACAGAGGACCTATTTCAGCAAGGGAAATTATTCTTACCTTTCACTTTTTCTGTTTGGGATATAGAATAAGGTGCTAAATCAGGCGATGTTCACAACCTTATTTCTCGTTTACGGTATCCCCTGCTCCCTTGACTGCTATAATCCAGTTCCAGGGTCTTCCAAAGCAAAATAGAAATACTGTAGATCTAAAAGACTAAAGAAAAAAGTTGTACACAATTAGATTTAAAAAGCTCCCTCGGCATGCATCAAGGATTTAGGAACTGAAGTTTCTGGAGAGGAGGCCAACACTGTGACTTCAGCTTGAATGCACCCAAAAGAGGTACATTCTCACCCTGGAAAAATGATGGTGAAAATGATCTAATTAACAGGCCTAACATACTTGAAAACAATACTGTGCGGGGCCAATAATTATTCAAATATCCTCACATTAGACAGCGGGTAATTGGGACACTTTTCAACCCCCCTAATTGTTCAAACTGGCATCTGCTAGCCACAATGCTTGCTAGCCTACCTCTAAAAACTTTAAAGCTAGTCAAAGGCCCAGTACAGGCAACTATTACTCATGTCTACCAGCACAAACAGGCCAAAATTAACTATGTTATTGTGTGTGAAGCTGCCCAGATACACACTGCTTCCAGGAATCAGCTGCTAGACCCCAAATTCTACATATTTTGTCCAACCATGTTGTAGGGGGAAACACATCTACCTGTACAGCAAACTGGTGACATGGTCAAAGAACATCCTTAGTGTTTACTGGCATCACAGAGGACTCCATTGCCTCCCAGTCAAATGAATGTCTGCGCTCAAACCCGAGTCTCAGGTAAAGTGAATAATCTTTTACTGTTGTGCCTTTAACACAACTGTGCTCAGAAAGTTGATGGTTGGGGACAAATAGTATGTGAAATTGCTTTTAGAATGAATAACGCACCTAATTAGCAAACCTTTTTCAGCAATTCTAAATAGGTTGTTAAGCCATAAATTTGCAGATGAACATCAAATGGCATAGCAGTACTGGCTAAATGTACATTAAAAGGGCCTCAGATTTGTCTGCTCTGAAATGTTCTGTTGCCATCCTACCAGAATGGACACAAAAAAGTCGAACATACAACAGTTTTTCAGACACATTTCAAGAGCTTCAAACCGCAACACCTTTATTAGTTGCAGTTACTGAGAAGAGGGGATATCAATGAAACTCTTATCAAGAGTTTTTCTGTGCAAAAGTCACTTAAAAAGTTTCCACATTATTCCTGAAAACAGCGCTTTTAATGCAGATTTTATAAGCATCTGTTGGTAAAATATAATTCTGCACTGCAATAAACAAAGTTCTATTTTGGGAACCTTTGTATTTATTGGTCTAGATTATGTCAGGCAAGCACTTAAAAAAAAATATGAAAAAAGGTAGGCATTTGGCAACTTCTTGCTAAGAGATTACAGGGCTCAAGGACGCATATATTGCTTAAAAAAGGGGGGAAACCCATTCAAAAGGAACTTTTATTCTGAAAATCCATTTTAACTAGCCTAAAAAGTGTGAACTTTTCGTTTTTAGTAAAGGGGACCAAAATACATTTTTGGAATTCTAAAAGTAAAAAAAAATAAAAAAAAAAAAAAAAAAAAAAATGGAGCTACATCTTAAATACATAGGTGCACATATTTGGAAGACTAGAACTGGATTTGAGCATTGAAGGGAGCAAGAAAACCCTGAGGGATAAAAAAATTTTACTTAATTCTACATCCAAAATTTACATAAATTTCATCACAAGCTACCCACACCCAAATGAACACAGTGGTCTGCAAAAGCGGTTATCATTTAAAGAGCACCATTCCCATTTGGTTAATGCAAGAATCAAGCTCACTGCAAGCTGTCCATGCAAACTTCTGCATGTGGTCATTTTAATGTCATACCTATCACCCAGTTTCTTTGAACCCTGGAACTTCACTTGAAATGCTTCATAGAAAGCTGAGGAAGGATTCCTGTGAGACCCAAGAACCAAATGAAAAACATTTTAAAACATTTATGCTGTGTACAATGTGGATGTATAATATAATAATGCAAAACAGACAGCCCTATAAAACAAAGGCAATGAGCAAATCTTTTACTCAAAAATCTGAATGCTTGGGTTTACCGATATTTTTAGTCCATTGGTGGGGGGAAGAAGGGAAAAAAAAAAAAAAAAAAGTGTCAAAAGATTTAGGCCTCATTTTCAAGGGCTCTGTGGCCAGTATAGCATGAATGGGCCATCTGATGTGTCTGGAGCCACCTGACGCTGCATTGAAGCAGCCCATATTATCCTATGGAGAATGTGGCGGTATGGACAAAAACGCTCTTCCTAATTTGACAGGTATGCAGGAGTGGATGAGCTGCCCCAAATGCACACAGATTGTATAGGGAAAGGTTACCCTTTTGTGGAAGGTGGTGGGGGACTGAGGAGCCAGGAGAAAGAAAAAAAGGTGAAGGTCTGCTTGCAAATAAAGGAAGAAAGTAATGGGATTTGACAATCTGTATATCATAATTGCCATATCTTGTATGATCTTTTGCAATATAGAACTTTAAATGTTATGCGATTGTTAATTTTATATCTCATCCTAGATGTATAATATGTGTTACTATGGGCAATATGTACTTTGTGATTTTAAGATGGTGTGCTTTAATGGATTTGTAATATATATATATATATATATATATATATATATATATATATATATATATATATATATATATTTTTTTTTTTTTTTTTTTTTTTTAACAAGATATTTGTTCTTGTCTAGTGGTCATCTACAAATTGCCATAACTTTCCTGCTTTATTTTTTGGTTATATTTTGCACTTTCGGATGTTGACCATTGGACAGGGATTCACATTCTATTTACATTCCCCACTTAGCCTTTGTAGTTACTAAAGATCTGATTTAAATGCATGAAAATGGCACAGATTTGCATGGGTGTCCCTTTATATGAATTTAACTGCAACAGTTAAAAAAAGACTGAGTGGCCTTATTTTGCCAAGCCCTGGAAATCTAGAATCAGTCTATTCTGAATTATTATACTGTATATTAAGAGCAGTGCACAAACAGCAGTTTACTACTGTGCGTATACCAAAGTATAATAAATCAACATTATAAAACTACAGGTAGGATTTAAGCCGGGTTCACACCGGAGCGCTGCAGTTTGGGCACAGTGCAATTTTATGCACATTTTACATATGGCTTTAGCTGCGCTTACATTGACATTTGGCATCTTCTGAAATCGCATCACAGATGCAGCACTTTGATGAGCTTTCATGTCTATTACAATGGCATGTGGTTGGGCAAACACAAGAACTTTGTATCCCAAGTGACTAGAATAACACGTGAAGGACACGTTGCGCACACATTAAAACTGAAATTACTGATCATGTGCATAAAGCTACGACTGGCTAATAAGCTGATGAATTTTAGATAAAATGGAAAATTTTAGTCTAAAGTTAAAACCCCTGCCAGCTTTAGTTATCTGTATACCATTAGGGGAATTTCCCTTTATTTCTTGTCCCAGAGACGCAACATGAAGTTAGAAATATGTGTGAGGGGAATTTCCCTCAGATAGCTATCCTGCAACATGTCCAAACTGCAGATTTCCCCTTGGTCTGGGCACAACTGAGATGTTTGACTTACTCTAAAATTCTTAGCGTGGAATACATGAAGGGACCCAGGCAGAAATCATTTTGGTACATTCAGTTATTGTGCCGCCTCCAGAAGACTGAACACTGGCAAATATAGCTGTAGAACAACTTGGTGTAAATCAACCTCCAGTCCATGGAGGTACAGGGTGACCCTGTCTTACTTGTCCATGATGCTGGACTACAAGTCCAGGCGTCAACTGTCATGATGGGAATACCCCCAAAAGGGGTCTTCAGTGATTGGGTTCCATAGCAAAGGACTACAGCCCTGGACCTATATAACACTCTGTGCCTAATGACACATTGCTCCAAGTGGTGCACACCCCATGCAGGATCCAGTGCCCGAAAAAACACTACAGGCCATCCCCACAGCGTGGGGCCTGGGTATGGCTCCCAAGGTTGCACCAGCTGAGATACAATGCTTCTGTGTAGGCATCAGAAGACATTGAGGGTTAAATTGGAAGATAAAAGAAAAAAAAAAAAAATTTTCTGGAAGAGGTCCATCACCTACAGACATTATCAAAAACACCAAAGACTCATGCAGTGTGGTTGGGTTATAAGAGAAGCACCCCATAGGGATGTGTCCTCGTAAGCTTACATTTTCCCCTAATCACTTGAAGGTACAAACCTATAACCTATGGTGAATGAATATGCTGCCTGCGCCCTGTACAAAAAAAAAAAAAAAAAACATGCTCTCTAGGAACGACAGTATACTTTTACAAGAAGTCAATTTCTGAGCCTTTAGAAATGTAAAGATAACCAACTCAGGCAGGCCCCTATTCATCAGGACCTGGGCTTCAACAGCCAGGCCAATAAAGCCAGTGTTCAAGAAGCAGAGAGGTAAACCAGTCCTTGGGCAAGAAGATCTAGATAATCAGGCATGGAAGGTGTTTCAGAGGAGGAAAGGCATTGATCCAAGCTGAATTGATCTCAGAGCATCCACAATGAAGGCTAGAGGACCCCTCCACCTGGAGACAAACCTGCCCAATTTGTTAAACCTGGAAGCCAGTAGGTCCATGTCTGCCCCTGAGACAGAGGTCTTAAAAACACCCCAGGATGAGGAGACCATTTTCCCCCCAAGCTCAAAAGACTAGAAGTATTCCAGCAAATTTTCCATGCCTGGGAAGTGCATGGTAAAAAGAGCTAGGACAGAAGTTCTGGCCAAGCCATAATCTGACAGACTTCTTTAGAGCTGCAAGACATCTGCTCCTTCTCTAATGCTTTATGAAGGCCACTGCTGTGACATTTTCTGACTGGATCCTGATCAACTGGCCCTGTAGCAGACATTTGCATTGTTGAAGGGATAACCAAAATTATCCACCTATTATCCGCTTGTCTACAGGGGAACTTGTTGCACGTTAAAACCTGCATTTTCTGTAAGAAATTAACATTTTTTTAACAAATATATATTTTCTGAAAACAAAAGACCATGGAGAATGTCACAATCTATTATGGTCATACAATATCTGCAAAGCTATTTATGAATTGCATATTTGATATCCACAGGGTCTTTAAAACACAGGGATGACCTATGAAAAAAAGGTCAGAGCCTTGCGAAGGACAGGAAAGTCAGGTTCGAACAGGGATGGATTGCTTTGTTGAATTGGTTCCTTTTGGTGCAATAAAAAAAAACAAAATTCCATAATCTGCTCATCTTGTTATGAGGGGATGTGTTTTCCCTGAGTTAGAGGATTCTGGAAAGAGCTGTAACTCAGCCAAGGGACAGGGTCCCTTAGGAGGTACACTTTAGGACACCCTAAAAATGGATAGTGGACTTTAAGCTGGCAAAGTCAGCAGGATGGCTGCCCTTGCGCTTATGATCTGCCAATACAGAATTTCCCACAAACACTGCTGAAGGAGGCAGGGTTAATGCAGTCTGACCAAAATACTGTACAGTAGCAGGGAGCTCAAGGTAAAAACATTCAGAAAATCCTAATAAACGTGGTAAGTGAGCACTATGAACAATGCGATATCAAATACGTCAGCGGCTATGCACCAAAAGGCACCATATAAGACCTTCAAGCAAAACAAAAGGAGGGGGTGTTAGCGCTGCACCCCTTCCTTTTATTTATTCAGAGAATCTTAGTGGAGAATCTGAGAAGTACTGCCAGATGTATTGGAACATCCCTTCAAATCATTGAATTCAGGTGTTCAAATCACCTCCATGGCCACAGTTGTATAAAATCAATAACACCAGATATGCAGACTGCTTCTACAAACATTTGTAAAAGAATGGGTCGCTCTCAGGAGCTCAGTGAATTCAAAAGTGGTACTGTGATAGGTTGTCACATGTGCAATAAGTCCATCTGGGAAATTTCCTTGCTACTAAATATTCCATGGTCAACTGTTGGTGGTATTATAACAAAGTGGAAGCAACAACTCAGCCAAAAAGGGGTAGACCACGTAAAATGAGAGTGGGGGGTCAGCGTGTGCTGAAGTGCACAGAAGTCACCAACTGTCTGCAGAGTCAATAGCTAAAAATGTTGTGTGCCCTTCAGATTAGCACAATACCAGTGTGTAGAGAGCTTCATGGAATGGGTTTCCATGGCTGAGCAGCTGCATCCAAGCCTTACATCACCAAGTGCAATGCAAAGCATCAGATGCAGTGGTGTAAAGCATGCACTGGACTCTAGAGAAGACGTGTGCTCTGGAGTGAAAAAAATATGTTTCTCTGTCTGGCATTCCAATGGATGTGTCTGGGTTTGGTGGTTGCCAGGAGAACGGTACTTGCCTGCATTATGCTAAGTGTAAAGCTTGGTGGAGGGGGGATTATGGTGTGGGGTTGTTTTTTCAAGGGGTCAGCATACTAAGACATTTTGGACAATTTAATGCTCCCAACTTTGTGGGAACACAGTTTGGGGATGGCCAATTCCTGTTCCAACATGACTGCACACCAGTGCTCAAAGCAAGGTCCATAAAAGACATGGTTGAGCGAGTTTGGAGTGCAGGGACTTGACTGGCCTCCTGACCTCAACCTGATAGAACACCTTTGGGATGAATTAGAGCGGAGACTGAGAGCCAGGCCGCCTTGTCCGACATCAGTGCCTGACCTCACAAATACGCTTCTGGAAGAACGGTCAAATATTCTCATAGACACACTCCTAAACCTTGCGTTTAGCTTTCCCAGAAGAGTTGAAACGGTTATGGCTGCAAATGGGTGGGCCAACTCAATATTGAACCCTATGGACTAAGACTAGGATGCCATTAAAGTCCATGTGCGTGTAAAGGCAGGCATCCCAATACTTTTGGCAATATAATGTACATTCATCTTCTCCTGCTGGGCTTACTCCCCAAAAGGAGTCTTGAACAGAGTTCCACCAG